GGGGACTCCGGCGTCACCTACCAGTGTCAGGGCTCATTTCCACATATTCCTTTCATTTCAGCCCAGTAGCCTGGGCGGGAAGAGGCTTCACATTATTTGGTGACAAACCAAGGTTGAACAGATGCTCCACCATCCAAAGGAATTAGGTCTCCGCCGTGGGTGACTGTTATAAATAACCCATGCCGTAATGCTGAGTCAAAATGGGAGAATGGAAATTCGACCGACAGTAACAGTAATAAGGATAACATTTACTGAGAGCTTCCTAGGGGCCAAGCACCGTTCTAGGCATTTTACGTGACTACATCCTCACAAAAACCCTACAAAGCAGGTACGCTTAGTAGCTCCATTTCACGGATGAGGAAACTGAGGCTCAGAGAGGTGAAGTAACTTGCTTTGAGGTCATAGAGTTGGAGAGCAGCAGAGCCAGGATTCACACTGCGGCCACTGGTTCCGGAGCCCAAATGCTTGGCTATTACTCCCTAGGCACCCTCTACCTTTCCTATCTAGAAATTTCTGCTGGAAAGTTGTGACAAGATGCTCAGGGAGCCTGAGAGCTTTCTGAGGAACAGATCCTGGCAACAGAACAGTTAAATGTCATAGTTACAAAAATACTAAATGCGGTTAGGATTCTCTCCTAATTCAATTTGGATTTTTTTAGACCAGACACTCCTATGCGAATGCAATAGCTCCTGACACACGAAACATAATTAGAGAGTGGGGAGGGGGGGAGCTGACACAAGTAGCAGGCATAAATTTAGCTTCCAGTGACATTCTGGATGTTCCGTTATCAGGGCAGAAGCAAAAGCGGTGAGGAAAGACAGATGCCCGGCTTCCAGCCATTGGTTCAGCTCAGGCTCTGGGATACAGCTGCCAGTCAGGCCCTAGAAACGCTCTGGAACCCATGGACCATTCTGTGACTGCCATTCCAGCTGAAGACTGAGGGTCTTCTCTCCTCCTTACAACGTCCACTCACTCATCCGGCCACAATTCTGCTTCCTAAGTATTTCCTGAACTAACCCCGCACCCCAACCCTTTGCCTCCTACCATCTCACCAGCCTCTTTCCTTTCTCCCTCCTGCCTATTACTGCCCGGCCAGGAGAGCGTTCTGAAGCTCAGACCTGACTGTAGCACATACCTGCGCAAACATCTCCGCCAACGGACTACTAAGCGGTCATTCATTACACAGGAAGCCAGGGACTGGTGGCAGGTGTCTAACCTGGTATAACCCCTTTGGTGGACAATCTGGTAAAGTTAAAACACTTTGCCTCTGACCCAGAAAATCCATTTCAAGGAGTTAATCCTACAGATACACTGACAAGTGTGAAATGACTGTATGAGATAGATTTCAGCCTGGCCTGTAACAGCAAAGGGCTGACACACCTCAACAAACCGCGGAGAACTCTAAGCCAAGGTTCTCACACTTGAACACACATCAGATTCACCAGGACGGCCTGTGAAAACAGCCTGCTGGGCCCACCGGAGTTTCTCATTCAGAATTTGCAGTTCTCAGCTCATGTAACCCGGTCAGCACGGTGAAGGCCACAGCGCAGCTGCCCGCTGGGGTCAGAAGCCACTATGCTGCTGAAGGCGCGTGGAGGGTGCTGGTTCCGTTCGGCCCCAGGCCCCCTGCCCTTGGGCTGCCGGGTGGAGGGTGCACCTGGCTTCCATCTGACCCGGGGTCCTCCCCTTCCTTCCTCTCCCCTCCCCAAGGTCTTGTCCTCCAGCCGTCTGCGGATATGCCATGGATGTGCCATCTAGGAACTAGTCCGACCCAGCCAAGAAGACATCCCGCCCCTTCCACGCTGCTCAAAGATTACCAGGACGTTCTGGAATTGAAAAGGCTGATGTCGAGAAAAGACTCTTTTCTTTGGAAAAGGTGAACCGGAAGGAGAAGCTAAAAATCAAGCAACAACAACAATAAAAATCACACACACACAAAAGTCAAGCAAGAACAATGGATGAACAAGGTTGTGGCAAACGCTGAGGACACCAGCGCCCTGAAGGCCCTAAGTGTTGCCTTGACGATCAAGATCCGCAATTATGAAGCGCACATGTAGAAACATGGAAGGGACACAGCCCTCAAACGCTACCTGCCGATGAGCATTGCTCAGAGGAAAAAGATGCTCAAAAACCTCCCTAAGACCAACTACAATGTCTTTGAGAAGACGTGCAAGGAGCTGGGGACTGAGTCCACCTTCCCCTCTGTACTACCGAAAAGCCCACTGCAGCTGGGTGACCAAGAAGCTCTGAGCAACTGGGTTTACCGGGACGTTTAAAAGCTGAAGAAGCAACAAAGGGCTTTAAAAGCAGCAGCAGCCCGGAAACAAGGCCAGATGAACCCAAAGAGCTCTTCTAGAGTCAATCAAGGAAAACCAATACATTTTGTTCAAGTTAAAATAGAAATTCCCAGGTGGTGCTGAGTCATGCTTTTGGCGTGCAGGCAGGACCACCACTCCATAGGTACTGATGTATTTATCACCAATATATATTCAATGAAAAAAAGAAAGGTGCAAAAAAGTGCATATAAAGTATAACAGTTATATAGCGAAAGTGGGGGAAAGCATGTTTATATGTAAGGGCACAGAATCTCCTGGAAACAAGTAACAGGTCTGCTGCCGCTGGGGAGGGAACGTGGGCCACTGGTGGGGGAGGAAGACTCACTGTGCGCCCCTCTATTCCTTTGGAATTCTATACCATGAGCGTGCATTACCCTCCCTCCTTGCCGTAGGACAATGCGGCAGATCCATGAGTGCTGACATAGGAAAATGACCAAGACAATGTTACAGAACACACACACACACACACACACACACACACACACACACACACACTTAAGTTGCAGAGCATTATGCCCTACAAATCCCAAGTTTTAGAAAAATAAATTTACATGTGGATATACACACGGGCACACACATATAAACACAGAGAAACGTTCTGGAAGGTTACACACCAAACAGCCAACTGGGTTACTTCCAAGGAGTGGTACTGAGAAGGCTTTTCCTTTCATTTCTGCATGGTTTGAATTTTCCCCCCAAGAGCACCTGTGCAGTACTTTTGTAACTATGAAGATTAACTGTTGCATTGTCTTCAGGAGTCAGTACCTCAGAAAGCCTGTGGCTCCCTAAGCATCTTCTTGTCCCCCATCCGAGCCCCTGTACTGGGCTCAGACACACTACTCCCCGCCTCCCCTGTGGTCCCAGGCCTCCCTCTCTTCTTGTACCTCCTGTGGAACTCTAACCCTCCACGCAAAGACAGCTGCTGTCAATTCTAGGAGGCACATCAGCCTTCAGTTTAGTTGGCTGGTCGCACATCTGTTTCTCTTTGGTGACTGACACTGTGAGGGCAGGGCCTGGCCTTCTTCGTTCCGGCACCACTGGTACCCAGCCCAGGGCCTTGCACAGAGCAGGAGCCCAGTCCAGTTGGCTGAGGGGCTCCTCGGAGTGACAGGCTCGGTGCCTTTGAAGGAATCTGCTGTGCAGCTACTGCTGGGCCTGGGACCTGCTCTTTTCTGGGAGCACAGGTCTCTGACAGGGATGGGCACCCATGCCTACTTCTTCCCAACACCCTCCTGGACGCCCCACTTCCTTCTCCTCATTTCACTAATTTGCCTGTTACGGACAAGCTGGTCTCAGGGAGAATTCTGTCCTCACATGCCCTCTCTCAGCTGGCTTTGGGGTTTAACACTGATGGGAAATCAAAACTCTTGAGCCCCCATATTGACTTTCCTCTCTCCCTGCCAAATGACTGGGGAAGCATGACTCAGGGCAGAAAAAGGAAGTCATTTGGCCAGCCCTTTCCCTAGGCCAAAATGCCACTTGGGTATCATTTAGGGGCAATCTCCATGGGATTCTATATTTAGGGGCACCTGTGTATCAAGGAGAGGGCCCCAGACGAGGACCAGGAGCACCTGGTTCTGTCACTATTTGGCAGAGTGATCTTGAGAAGCCATTTCTTTGACCCTCAGCTTCTTTCTCCGTACAATGGGATAATAAAACTGGTCCTGCTCGCCACACTCGGTTGCTGGGAGAATAAAGGAGGGTGAAGGCCTGGTAAACTTTAGAATATCCTAGTGGTGGGAAGCTAATAAGTAAGGACTGGGCCCTTTACAACTTCATGCACTGTCTTCCAACCCCTGCTGTCCCACAGATGCTGGGGGGAGGTATTTGAGGCGACAGTGGATCTAAAGCTCTCTTCTATCCAGACCCTCTGCTCCAGCCACCCCATCTTCTAAACTGCTTCGCACCCCTACTTACCTGGTTCCCTCATTCCTAGAATGTCTTCTCAACACAAAATTGCCCTGCCCTGCCCCAGGGGTCCCCAGCTTTCTCCTTAAACCCTGAGCACTACCTGTAATGCAGTCACAGAGCTAGCTATTCCTCCCTTGTCCAGACACCTAAACTCCCTGGTCACAGGGCTCAGAACCACTCATCTCTGTAGCATCCCCACTCCCCTAGACAACGGTGCAAGTTCAGGGAATTGTGTTGCCTGCAGGGTGTTTTCTGAAGAGACCAGTGATCCATATGCAGAGACGCTGCTAAGAATTGCTCAGTTTTGGGGAGCCCCTCAGATGAACTGCCCAGCGTACACATGCTGCCCCTCACCTCCTAGGTCCTGGTCTATTTCAGAACCTCTCCCTGCACCAAAGTGTCTGCCAGAAAGGTATTGTTAGGGGGGGCTGACGGCCACCTGAACGCTGCTTAAAAGGGGCAGAGCAGAAAGGTAAATGGGGCCAACTTCCTGCCTATTCCCCTCGGCATCTGACCACAGAGAGAACCAGCAGCGGCGCCCTTGCGTCTTGGGGAAGAAAGGTGGCAGCTTCAGCCACTGCTCCAGTTGGGTAATGTTTCAAGAAGGCGGCGTGAGCAGTTTCAAAAGTGGCAGTTGCTCTGTGGGCCTGCCCTGTTGGGGTAAGGCAGCTTCCGCTCAGGTTCAACTTCAGGTCTGGGTGGGGAGGAGCGGGGGAGCTGCAGAGCAGGAGGCTGTGGAGGAGGGGACTGGGTGCCGGGAAATGAGAAGCCATTGGTACCGTGGGCTAGACAGGGCTTAACTTAGGGAAGGGCGGGGGCCGGGAGAGGAGGTGGAGGTGCTGGGTTCTCCCTGGTGTCCCATGGGACAGGGGCTGAGGAAAGCCAGGGATGCCAACAGCAGCTGTTTCTCAGCAGGTAGGCCATTGGTGGGGGGACTGCCGTGGGTGCATAAAGAGAAAGGCTACTTCGGGGTAGGGTCAGGGACTGGGGTGGGAACAGGGTTTAGGCTCAGGTAAGACAAGGTTAGCTTGATTGTCAGGGAGAGGGAGCCAGTCAAAGAAGGTGTCTACGCCTGGTTAAAAAGGGGGGCGCCAAGTTGCCGGCTACTGAGGGGCTGGCCGACTGAAACTGGTTCCAGAAAGTGATGTGAAAAACTGTAAGCTGGGGCCATCCTCCTAGGTTTTTAAAATTACTATTATTATTATTATTATTATTATTTTTGAGGCAGGGACCAGGGCCTGATCTGGGGATTGTGGGAGAGCACACTTCAGGCCACGGATTCCAGTTAGACAGGTCCGAGTCCAGGGCTGGGCCTGGACGCTAGACAATGCCCATGCCCTGGGATGGGGTGTGGCAGGGCTCCTGACAGAGGGATGACACCACCTGGACCACTCGGGAGTCCTCAGGACCAGCGCCCCACCAGGGGCAGAGCGGGATGATGCGGAGCCGGGACGGGGTGACGGTCTCAGATGGGATGAACAGCCAGAGCAGAGGCTGGGCTGGGTCCAGTTGGCTCGGAACAATCAGTACCGGAATCAGAGTGAGGGTCGGCTGGCAGCGCTAGAACCCAGGCCCTATCCGGGGCAGGGCCAGTAACCGGATCGCGGGACGGGGCCCCGAGGGTGCAGCGCCCCAGGCCATCGCGGGAGGTGGGCCAGGGGAGGGGCGGGGTGGGGGTCAGGCGCTGGGAGGGGAGGTGTCTGTCTCTCCCACGGCGGGCGGGGCGGGCCCGTGTCAGCCGTCGCCCGGGTGGGGTGGTGGAAAGCACCGGTTTTGCCGCCGACCCTACCTTGCCGCGGGCGCAGCGCACGGAGCGCAGGGCGCCGAAGAAGATGGGCAGCAGCGCCATGAGCAGCAGGCTGCCGTAGGCCAGCGCGATGCCCTCGGGCGTGGAGGGCGGCCTCGTGGTGCCGTTGGCCGGGCTGCCAGCCTCGGCGCTGGCGTTATGCGGGTCACTGAGGGCTGAGTCCATAACGAAGCTGCGCTCCGGGTCCGATTCCAGTTCCGGCCGCTGCATCAGGAGATGGGCACTGCGGGGAAAGCCACGTTCCCCTAAAGAAACAGGAAGTGACGTGCCTCCCGCGCCGCCAGGGCCGCGCACGCGTGCACGTCCCTGCGCCCGAGCGCCCTCTAGCGGAGGCGGAGGGTCCGGCGGCCGGTTGCTAAGCAACTTGCTAGATGCGGTCAAGAAAGGATCACGAGACCCCTGCGGTGGGCGTCCCTCCTGAGAGAGACCAGAGTATCCTATTCTCAGCCTCAGTGGACTTCCTCAGTCGGCCAGACTGTTCCAAAGATCGCAATCCTCAAACTAAGAATCCATTTACTCACGCGTGCATTCATCCAATATTCCATTGTTCCTTCACTCCTTAAGTATTTGAATAGCCCATTATATGCCAGGCACTGTCATAGGCTCTGAGGACACTGAGAAGGAATAATGAATAGAATACTGGGGACTCGCTATAGTTATAAGAAATATTAATCATGCTCTGTTAACGGTGATGGCTTTGTTCTGATTAAAGAAAGGACCTTCTAACCTGACTGGGAGTTGTACGCCCCGCGACCTGGGAGTCAACTTTAGACCTGGCAGTCAACCTTGGACCTGGGAACCAACTTGGAATGTGGTCCCTTCTCATTCAAGAACTACCTAATATCACGGAAGGAATAACGACCTTGTTGCCCAAACAATGGAGTCCCACCCCAGCCCAAATTGCATACTTCCCCAAGCATGTAATCCCTACTTCCCCATGTAATCTTTGCCCTTCTTCTCAAGATAAGCAGCTGGCTTATGGAAGGTTGCAGAGCAGGTTTTTGTGGATGACCCGCTGCTCTCCCATACCGCTGGCATTATTGGAATAAACGTTCTTATATGATCCAACCCTGTATCTGCTTAATTGGCTCAAGTAGTGACAGGGAGCCCGGACCCACTGGTTGTCCGGTTTCAATAATACAGGCAAATGTCTGTCCCTGCCCTCATTAAGCTTGCATTTTTAGTTTGGTGGAATGGGTGGTGGTGGTGTTGGGAAAACAATATATAACATGAACAAAATAAAATATGAAGTCTATAAGATGCTAGTGTTTAGTCGTATGTTACATAGCATGTTAATGGAGATAAGTAATTTAGAGAGGCCTTCCTCTCTGGGAACCTACTACACTTCTGTATATGGCTTGGGCCAGGGTGGTTCCAGACAGTTCCACAGGGTGAAGTTCAGGTGGCTGTCTGTGTAGATGAGCAGTCCTGTGGGGCTCCCAGTGTGTGTGTGATCAGGGATGGGGAGCGGGTGTGGGTAGGAGTGACCTGGACTTGGCTGCAGGCCCGTGCTGTCTGGGGCTCCTGGCTATGTTACTGCTGCCCTAGTTAAGAGCTGGAGAAAGTGTGTCAGACAAACTGGAGAAAGCTGCAACCTGCAGGCACCTAGCACTGGGGAAACTTTGAGCCAAGCAGTGGAGAAGAAAGCCTGCTTTCCAGAACCCAGGAAATGAGCCACCTAGAACCAGGAGGGGAAGATCCATTCTCCTCTGCGGCCTTCTAGTGAAATCTACTGAAAAGGTTTATCGTGCCAGCTGGCAAAGGAGAATTTTTTTTTTTTTTACTGTAAGAGAACATTTATTTGGTAAATTACACAGGTAAAAGTAATTCCTAGAAGAAGCCGATAACCCGAATGGTGAGCTGAGGTATTTTCCCGGGGTCGTGTCTCGCAACACCGAAGAATGAGCTCCGTGGACCAGAAGATTTAAGCAAAAGTGTGGAAATTTATTACAAGCCGATTGAGACTCCCCTCGAGGGGAGAGGGGCCCCAGTAATGGGCTGTCTGTTAAAGCCTTGTAGTCCAGGGGTGTATATTTGCTACAAGCCTGTTTCTGTATCCATGTCATCACCTGATTGATTCCCTCATTGTTCTTGCCCAGCAACGGAACTGAACTGTCCCTGTTTCTGTGTGTTCTTTCTCTGTCCCTATGCTGAACTTCCCCTGTTTCTGTGTGTTCTTTCTCTGTCCCTATGCTGAACTTTCTCTGTTTCTATGCATTCGTACACCTTATTGTTGCAGGCCCTCCCTCGGTTTCCTGGCCTCCCGCTTTGAGTCCAGAAACATTTTGTTATTCCTGCTTGGTTGGTTTCTGTGATTAGGCTGCTCAAAAGGCAGTGTCTGCCCCGGCTTATGTCCCACCTGCCTTTGTTTTCCACTGGACCCCTGCCCTGCCTGCCTGCGTTTCAAGTTAACCCTCTCAAAATGGGCTTAGGAAATGAGTTATGGAGGTAAAGGAAGGGCCCTTGGAGCTTGGGGGAGAGGAAGCTAAAGGTGATGTGCCTGGGGGAACTGAGGAGGGGGAGGAAAGGGGAGAGGGAAAGGCCCGCGCAGGCCTGCTCCAGGGAGAGAGGGAGAGCACCCAAAGGGGAAATCTTTACAAGACTCAGCTCCATTATCACAGAGCTGGCAAAAAAATGGGTTTAAAGCTGAGAGGCAATGAATTGATAGACGGCACAGATGGTGTAAAATCACACGGCTTGGTCCTAGCTTAGCAGGTGGTGAGGAGGGGCTGGAACATGGGGTTCATGGTGAGGGGAGACAAAGGCAAGGAGTCAGACTATGGAAGTTTGAATAGTAGGTTGTTTGCTGAGTACATTCCAGGCACTCTACTAACTTTATGGGTGTCTTCTCTGATCCCAATAATGCTAGTAAGGGACGATTGGTCCACTTTTATAGATGACTAAGCCTCACAGAGGTAAACTAGCTAGCCCAGGTCATACAGTCAGCAGTGGGAGAGGAGAGACTTAGTGGGAGAGGAGAGACTCAGGGCTGTAAGACTCCAAAGACTTTGTTCTTTCCAACATTCTAGCTACACAGAAGGCGAAGGGGTTTGGACCAGAGTAGCTTAGTTCTGGGCAGATGGTGTCAATAAGCTGGACATACCTTAGTGAATGGGAGAAGGCAGTGTGCCTGATGAAATCACTCATCAATAATTCAGGCCACTGGGCCTCATGGCTCTGAGCCTCCTCATCTGAGAGCTTACAACCGGAAATCAGAGACGCACTTGCTTCGAGCTAGGCTGAACACTGGATTTAGTTTGGCCCAGAGCAGATCTGGCCATCTCCCTTTACACTCCAGGGTGGGGGATTGTGAATGCGACCCAGAGAACTGACGGGTTGACCCAAGTTCAGAAAGCTCCTGTCAAGGGTTGAATTTCCGGCTTGGGTCTACCTGTCTTGATATTCTCCAGAGATGGGAATGAGACAGTCTGAGGGTGGGTGCCTCCTGTATACAGCTGCTTTTCCAGAGGAGATCTGAGCTGACATCAAGAATGGAGGTTGTTGCCAAAACCGGTTTGGCTCTGTGGATAGAGCGTCAGCCTGCGGACTGAAAGGTCCCAGGTTCGATTCCGGTCAAGGGCATGTACCTGGGTTGCGGGCACATCCCCAGTAGGAGGTGTGCAGGAGGCAGCTGATCGATGTTTCTCTCTCATCGATGTTTCTAACTCTCTATCTCTCTCCCTTCCTCTCTGTAAAAAATCAATAAAATATATTAAAAAAAAAAAAGAATGGAGGTTGTTTAGAGCCTGGGATAGATAAATTACCAAATATTTGTTCCAAAGAACAAATGCAGTCCTTCCCCCACCTCTTTTCACTTATTATTATACTAGAGGCCCGGTGCATGAAAATTTATGCACTCGGGGAGGTGGGGGTTTCCTCAGCCTGGCCTGTGTCCTCTTGCAGTCCGGGACCCTTTAGGAGATGTCCACCTGCCGGCTTAGGCCCAGTCCCTGGGGGATAAGGCCTAAGCTGGCAGTCAGACATCCCTCTGGCAGCCCAGGAGCCCTTGGGGAGACATCATTAGTGCTGCCGAGGCGGAGGGAGAGGCTCCTGCCACTGCTGCTGCGCTTGTAGCCGTCAGCAGGGCTTGCGGCTGAGTGGAGCTCCCACTTTGGGAGCGCACTGACCACCAGGGGACAGCTCCTGCATTGAGCATCTGCCCCCTGGTGGTCAGTGAGCATCATAGTGACTGGTCATTCCCGGTTGTTCTGCCTTTAGGGTCAATTTGCTTATTACCCTTTTATTATATAGGATTCAGTCACTATGAATGTGTTTACAATTTAAAAATTTTTTCCTCATACACACACACACACACAATTTGACACACAGTATTACATGCTTAAATAGTTCTGAATATAAGAAACAAGGATCATCAATGGATACTAAAACTATTGAGAGAAAGGCTGTTAAGGAACAGGATATTCGTACTATTTTAAAGTGTTGCCCCACAGATGACTTATCCTATCTAATAATAGACAAACATGGTAATTGACCGTACCTTCGCCACACCTTCCATTGGCTAATCAGTGAGATATGGAAATTAACAGACAACAAAGATGGCGGTTAATTTGCATACGTAGGCACGAAGTGGCGGAGCGAAGACTGAAGGCGGCTCCGGCCAGAGCGAAGGCCTGGGTCCCGGGTGCCGGAGGAAAATCGGGGCCGGCAGCCAGGGGAAGGGAAGGCCTATTGCATGAATCTTTTCGTGCAATAGGCCTCTAGTTAATTATAAAAGGAAGATGTTCCCTTGACATGGAGTGATCTGGTGGGCACTCCCCTAACAAAAGGATCAAACTGAGCATCACCAGATAGGATGGGATAAAATGGCAAGATGCAATGCAATGTGGGGGACACCACCTGTGTAACCTTGCCAAACATGTTTAAACTGCCTCTACTCATGAGGAAACCAGAGAAGTCAGGATTGTGGCACATTCTACAAGACAGCCTGGACTCTTAAAAAATGTCAGTGCCGCCCAGCTGGTGTGGTTCAGTGGTTGACCCATGAACCAGGAGGTCACAGTTTCATTCCTGGTCAGGGTACATGTCTGGGTTTCGGGCTCAATCCCCAGTAGGGGCTGTGCAGGAGGCAGCTGATCAATGAATCTCACATTATTGATGTTTCTATCGCTCTCTCCCTCTTCCTTCCTCTCTCTGAAATCACTAAAAACATATTAAAAAATAGTCAGTGCCATGAAAGAAAAAAAAATCCATGAGATTGTTGTAGATGAAAGGAGACTAAAGAAAGGTGAAAACCAAGAGTAAAGTATCATTCTCGATGACACCATTTTTCTGAAGAAAATCCTCAGACAAGTGGGGAAGGTTGAATACGGATTGTTTGGATGTGACAATGGCATTGTGGTTCTGCACCCCTTTTTAATCCAAGTGTGGTCCCCAGATCAGCAGCATCAGCATCACCTGGGAGCCCATGCAGACGTTCAGGTTCCCCCCAGACCTACCAGGTCTCCAGATGATTCACATGCCCTTTTAGCTTGAGAAGTGCTAGTGCAGGAGAACTTCCTTAATTCGTAGAAGGTGTAGTCTCTCATGAGCCAGGTGGTCCTGGGTTTTTGATCCTTGTGAGGAGACTGTGCTTGAAAGCAGTAAAACTCTGTATAAATGTTTACTGTTCTTATTATCTGTTGAGACCACAAGGGCCTTTAAATATATGTGCTCAATAAATATTTGTATAAATGCATGAATACATTGTTTCCTCCACTAAACCTTTTTCTCACCCCACAACGCTGGTTAACCCTGAACCATCCCTCAGAGCTGAGTCAAATGTCATCTCTTTAAGGAACCTCAGGAGCTCCTGTCTTTCTAGCAGGGTGGGGCCCCCACTAATGCCACCGGGTTTTACTAAAGTAGAAGAAACAGGGAGAAACCCGTGCCCCATAGCTCCTTGCATTAGGGCTGGAATCCTCACCTGGGGAAAATTTTTGGAGGCCCAAATAGCTCATGTGAATTGCGTCTTTAGCTCCACAATCCTAGAGGAATTCTCGAACAGGTCTACTAGGGGACATGTCCGAGGATATCTCTGCAGTTTTTATTTTTTCTTTTCTAAAATATAT